AAAAAAGGAGAGCAAATAGAATAACAAAGTCTGAATATGCAAAACCTAGCAGAACTTATAAAAAATATGTCAATGATCCTGAACCTGTTTTCTGGCATTTCTGTTGTTAGATTGATGGGGATTGAGGTAGATAGAAGCATTGCTAGTGAGAGAGAAGACTGCAGCGCTGATGAAAGTACTTTGCATATCACCTGAAAACTGTAGGTCTTCAGAGCTGAAGGAAACTGGGGAGCAGAGAGAAGAGGGATGGACTCCACACTGAGCAGGTTGTGACAGTGACAGGTTGGGTGATGGCTGGGGAGCTGCAATTGCCAAGAGTGCCAAGCTAAGGTACTCATCGTGTGACTTAAGGAGATGGTTTGTGTAAAAACATTGAAAAAGATCTTGTCTGTCACTCTGGAAGAATATTATGTGGATATTAATGATGTCCTCAACGGTCTCCTCATTTTTATTCTTACAGTATATCTTTTTCTATGCCACTGGATGCTTTGTACACAGAAGACAATCAGCTTTTTATTCTCTCTTGTCTTCCATTTCCTCATGCAGCTGATACTCCATATTACTCCCTATAGACAGCTTTTGGAAACAAGGAAATAAGATCTTTCTTTGCGTATTGCTTGTGGTTGTCATATTACTTGTCTGCTTAGAAAAAAGTATGCATAGCATTAATAGCTGATGTGTATCACATCTAAAAGGCAGTGTTGTACCTTTTATTTGCAGTGTGTTGCCCTCTGTTGGAACATGTCACTGTCTATTCTGTTGATGGTGATAACAAGGTGATGCAGCAGTTGTACTCCTGTGGTAGGTAATGCAGCACTGGGCAGAGAAGAGATGCTGTCAGGTTATAATATGGAGTTAAATATTGCAATTGGAGAGAAGTTGCAGTCGGCTTAAAAATGTTATAGTACAAATATGCTGGCAGTTTGGGAAGGTGTAAAGCATTTCTTTCTTGATAATGAGCAGTCCATGAGACAACTGAAGTACTCTTTAATTTACCCTTTCCATTCTGAACAGTAAACAGTCAAATAATTTTAAAGAAGCTGCACATAAACAACAACAACAAAAAATTATGCAATGATGGATGCAAAGAATTCATTGCTGAATATATTACTGAATCTTGCTACTTAAGCACTAGAAACTACTTTTTCTAATAGTAGAGAAGATTTTGTCTAATACTATAAAAATAAAGTATTGATGTTATAGAGACCATTTTCATGGCTATAAAGGATGGTGGCATTGTGTTAAGCAGACAAGAAAGCTGCTTTGGGACCACCATATTAACCCACCACAGTCAACTTTGGAACAGTGCAACTTATCTAACACATACATTAAGAACAAAGTGAAGTATTTAAGCCCAATTAAATCTATTTTAATAGGATATTACAGCATCTATCTACCTGTCTAGATTTGAATTTGTCTTGAGTCTGCACCAATGGCTACATAAGTCACTGAACAGATTACTGTCAGCTTTGGTGGTCTTTGGATCAGGCAGGCAGATGTATGCCATGACAGTGGCATAACAAATGGCAGAATATGTATTTTCGAAGCCACACTGTTATCTGGCAGCTGTTCCATTAACATCTATCTGAACCTACAAGATCATCTACCCAGTGGATCATAATGCATATATATAATTGTTGACTGTTTCCTGCTAAGCAAACTAATATCTTTCTACATGAGCACAGGTAGATATTCCTTCATGTATTAATTAGAATTCAACATAAATTCTAACTGTGAACTTCATTTGTTTTCTTGTGGACCTGAGCATTCTGTTTTATGAAAGGTCAGATCTTAGTGAAAAGTGCTTTTAAAATATGAATTTAAAACAACAGGACCTACCTAATTTAGCACCCGATCCAAAAAGAAATGTTACTTTATATCTTTAGAAATAAGCATTGCATCGCAGGAAGAAAACTAAACACACTTGCCAGTCATGGGATTATTATATGTAAAGTACTACATTAGAACATTTTAAAATCTGAAATGTGATGCTGTACATACAATGTTATGTTAGTTTTGTTTCTATGTATAATTGGATGAATGACTTAAATAGCATCTCTCAGTGAGAGGATAACTAAATAGGCCAACATGTGCATATAATTTTCATCTTTTACTGTGGATCTGTCACTGAACTGATGTGATTTGCTGTAATGTAAAGAGAAACATCAATATATTTTAGAATATTTTAGAATATGATGTAGTGGTTGTATGAATTTTTGGTAAATATTTGAATTGGGTTACTGGCCCACCTCCTGTGAAGAACAAGATAATGTTTGAATGTTAGTTAGGTTCAGTTAGAATGGGAAAATGGCATTTTTTGCTCTTAGTTTACATCAAAGACCTTCCTGCCTGCCTGTGGCTTTTGGCTCCTGGCTCTGCAGGCACGCTCTGCATCCACACCATTTAGCTGAGCAGTTTTGTCATGGACTTCATCTTTGTTAACCTCACATATTCTAAAATGCTGAAAAGAAGAAAAAGATGGTTGCATTGTGTCAATGGTTTATGGGCTGGTTTGGCCCGGTTCCTTGCCCAGCGGGGCAGAGGGATTTCGCAAAATCCGCGCCTCTGGGAAAAGGGAACAGGGGACCCCAAGATAATTAAAAACAGCAGCAACGATCTGAGGAGAAACAAACTAATTTACTAAATATATTATTGGAATGCAAGTTAACACTCTATAATACAATTTAATTAAAATTGAAGCTAATAAATCAAATATAATGAGAAAGAGAATGTCCAAAAGGTGGATAGGCCTCATCACAGTGCTGAGGTGCAATTCGCAGTCCAGTTGAGCAGCAGGGAGATGAAGAAGCGCCAACGAAGAAGAGCAGACGAAGAAGAGCAGATCAGGTGACCTTGCCAGGAGTTATATCTCCTCTCTGTGACCGCAAAGTCCCCTGGGGAATGTAGTTCTTCTTCTCTTCTGGGCAGGTACCCAGAACTTGACCATTAACAGTTGAGCTCCCAGTACCCTACATGATGTTATGATATGGAATACCGAAAACCGAAAATCACAAAACCACGACACATTGTCAACAGAAAAATGTTTGAGAGCAAAAAATTTCAGCACCGATGTTTCAGTTTGCAAGGATATGTGTAAAGCATAAACCTGTTATTAAAAATAATATCTGGGCTTTGTGAGTTAAAAGGATTTGTAAATGAATGTTTTAACTGATACCAGACTTTTTTCATCTGACTGACTGAAGATTTTCGAAGTGGTAGCACTTCTTTTTAAACTAAGGTTGTATGTCTCTCATGTGTTTGGAGGTGTCCTAGGAAAGCTTGAAAGGGATGCTGCATAGTTGGAGTGTCATTTTTGAGAAAGATGCATGTTGAGATCATTACAAAACACCCATGGCTTTTCACAAGAACAGGAGACATTTGGAGTTCTAGCTCCACCTTGTATATTGCTTTTAGCCAATGGATATTTTTCACAGTCTGTCAGTAGTGTATGGAAGTGAAGTGCAGAAGCAAATTATTGCTGTGTCCCACTTTATCTTATTCTTTCAAGGATATAATGTGTCCACTTTCTATTTTTCTTTCAAGCCTTTTGCTTTCTAACAATTCTAACAATTTTTAAGGGATGCCTATACTTGAATCGTTCCTTGAGATTTCAGTAGACCAGGAGACTTCTCCTAGACCATAGCTGTTCTGTCCCCAAATACACCTGGAGGGTCCAGGCATGCAGTGTGCTGAAATCAACCCATATTACTTCTGCGTGACCAGTAAAGCTTCCTCAGTCCCACAGCAAGTGAGGGGGACATGTAATGTTAAAAATAAAATGCAAATGCCTGACTTATTTGAATATAATCACTTTATTAATTTAACTGTCTAACAGATACTGATGACGGTCTAATAATAAGGTCCAAAATGTTCTTTCTCATTAAAGAAATTAATGAACTCACACATCTTAAGAATTTCATTTTAATTAATTAGGAATAATTTCTGTGAGACAGAGTGGAGAAAAAAAAGTGCCAATTAAAAAAAAATCCCTTTTGAGGAGTGGAAAATTAGTAAATCTGTTAATGAAGGATGCTGAATGTCAAGGTTTCATGAAATGGGTACCTACAGTTTCCTGACTCATGTAGAAAGTCACCAGGTGGTGGAGTCTTCCAGAATTTCAGCACTCCTGGCATTTCCACTCATTGCTTTATATATGCTAGCTAGTACATAATCCCTCCAGCAGACACAACAGTCATTTGATTCATGACAAAAAAAACCAGTCACTACGCATAGGTAAAGTATAAAAATGTGACACTGCAGCTGTCAGTTTATTTTTGTAAACTATGAGTTAGTAAGTATTTGTTAGTAATATAATTTTTAATAAAAACATAGTTACAGAAAGTAGAAAAACTAAACAGAAATATTTTCCTTGAATTGTAAAGTATGTGTTCCTCTTTTGCACTGTAGGTCTTTCAAAAATTAAATTTCTAAAGCTGCACTTCAGAAACACTCATTTTATAACTAATAATGTTCTGTGTTTCTGCAAAACAGAAATATTGACTGCCACTACACTGTATTATGATACTTTTCATCTTTCAGAGCTTAAAAAACAGTACAGTGGAAGCATTTAACATGTTGCTCTTGGGAAGCAATTTCAGATATGAGCATTTCCTGATTTTATTATTATTATTTTTTAACATCTAGAATGAACTTTCATGTCTGACTGAAAATGAACAAACTGTATCATTTTGGTTTATGCTTCATTGGTTTAATTTCCCTTAACTGTCATACCCAGATTTCAGTACATGTTGGCTTCAGAATCTTGTTAATGTTAAAAATAACTAACTTGGAACTGTTGGAACTGTGATTGATAACAGGTAAACTTTAAATCTGCAGGAAATTCTGAGAGAAGTAATTTAGGAGTAAGTATTATGTAAACAGATGCTTTCTCAAATTAGTATCAGTATACAAAGTTGCTAGAGTTAGCATAGTACCAAAGGAGTACTTACTGTTAAAACAACTTTTTTTTTTTTTTTTTTAATATATGTTGCATGCTGTAGGTGCACTTTAGGAAAGACAGCTCCAGCTGAAATTCAGTGAACAGAAGAGTAGGGGACTAATGCAAGAGAAAGGGGCAGTGACTTTCATAAAATCGACCAGCAACTCAGTGACACAGGTAGGTACAGAGTTTAAACCATTTGCTTTGCATTATCATACTAGGACAGGTAAGATACATACATTTCATTTTGAGTAGCAGTCTCTCAAGATTGTTTTTAGCTTCTGCTTGGTTTTTTTTTTAGATTGTACAGTAACTATTGTGCAGATTTCTGGTATGTGAAACTCAAACTGAAAGTGTGTGTGTAGTGCATTTGGTAGGAATGCTCTGTCCTTCTTGGGGATGTTGCCTTTATACTTAGGGAGTGAATACTATTTTGACTTTAAATACTTTGGCAAAACACATGGAGTGAAATCAAAAGGAGAACTTAGTGATAAATGTCAAATAACATGAATTATCTGCTGGGGTAAACTCCATTTGGAATTATTTTTGCACTGTGTAAAGAATGTATGGCTATACATATATATTTATACTTTTACAGACTAAAACTTTCTCTTACTGATTAAATATTTACAGATCACTATAGTTTCAAAAGGCTTTTAACTTTCTACTAAAATAATACACAAGCCTGCAAAGAAGGAAAAAATCAATTTAGACACATCTCAAAAGGATTGATAGAATGTGGTTACAAAAGAAGTTGTAATGCCAAATTTGTATGTGTTCTAGAGAACAGGGTAATAGGTTGGAAAATGGGAGATCCACTTTTCCTTCTAATGTGATTGCTTTATAGTTGAGCAAACTCTTTTGTGGTTTAAAAGCTCTTCTGAGCAAAACCTACTTCTTACTCCAGATTTGTCTGCATAAATACATATTGCGTGCCCATCACCTTTTATGTATGGACATTAGAATAACAACAAAAGACTGGAAGGGCTGTATAAGCTTTTAGGCAGAGTCTGAATGGCATGGATAGAAGCAAGTAACTAAAATTGTAGATTTACAAATTTAACATTCTATGCTGTATTGTAAAAGTATCACCCAGTGCAGTATTAGAAGAAAAGAGTGCTGATGAATCTTTCTGCAGGGCTTGGGTATTTGTGCTTCCTTTGTTGTGATAGTGAGCTTGTTGAGATAGTGGATAGTGTCCATTCAAAATGCCAAATGGAGGAAAACTGTATTTTTAGGCAGGCAAACATAATTTAAAAAATGTAGCTGAGTTCAACAGCACTGGCTATTTAACAAAATATCCAACAGGATAGAAACTTGGAGATGGGTGGCAAGGCATAATGATGGGTGCTAAGAATCTTTTCATTAACATGCAAGCAGTGTTTGGGAAGATAATATAAATTGGTGAACCTGGGCAGATTTCAGCAAGATGGGGGTGAGCAAAAGACAGAGCACAGTGCCACCTAGTGCCTTCGGCAAAATCAAACTGAACAGTCTCAATCAACTTTCAGGCAGATACAACTTAAAAATAAATAAAATACGTGAAAGGTGCATTAATGTGTTAAAGTAAAATTCTGAGGGCTGGAATCTCCATCAGGAAGCAGGTCTGTTCTGAGCTCCTGGGAGAACTTCCTAGGTATGAGAAACACTCTCAAGTTGAGGGGAGTGGATCCCACGTAAGTCCCTTTTTGTGGTTAAAATATGGGCTGTACCTTGGGCAAAGAAAATGCTGTTATGCATTAAATCTCAGCAAAAATTTTATGTCCTAAAGAATGTTGTAGACCACGTGTACAGTTGGGCAATAGGGGTAATGTCATGCTCGGAGGCCAGATGCACAAATTCACTTGAAATTTCCATGAATAAGCAGAAAGTCTAGTATGTATTATATCAGTCTTTTATATCGTGTGTTTGATGAAGTGTGTGTCAGAAATTTTGATGTAAAGAGAGAGTAAATATGATTTAAAAGTACACTGTTTACAGCACTGAAGTGTGACATTTGTCCTTCTAAACACAAACCAAGTCTTCTCTTTGAGTTTAATTGCTCTCAGAACCTCCCTCCCTCTATTCATTGTGTAGGGAGCTGGAGGTGGCTGTCTCCTTTTGTTTCCTTAGGTGAGTGAAATGAATCCAAGCCAGGGTGTGGGATGTTTGGGTTTGTGTACATGTATATCTGTATATTGGACTGCTTTAAATTTTCAAATTTCATGTGTATTTTCACATGCCAAATACAGGGGAAGCAGTAGCTACATGATTGCTTATAGAGAAAACACAATAGCTTAGCCCTGTGTATCACTGTAGGATGATAATATTCCTGCAGTAATACGAATGAAGTACAGGCAAAATTACAATCACAGTGCTTTTCAGATTCAAAGGAAATGGGACAAACTTGAAGCATCTGATAAAATGGAATTCTGTTTTACTAGCAACAAAGGAATATCTCTGTCATCTTGATAATGCTTAAGTATTAGCAGTCACTTCTCTTATATTAATGAATCTAATTTCCCCAGAAATGAGCTAGTCGTAAGTGAAGTAGAGGAGAATCTCTGGATGTAGTAGCAGGGAGTGGATTTGCTTAGAGATGGCTTTAAAAGGAGATACCAATCAAAGACTTCTTAATTTCTTTACTGTTAGGATCTTTATAGTCAACACCCCTTCGATTGTCTGCATTTTGATGCTCAGAAACTTGGGATAGAACAAAAATTTGTAATTTTTTTTTTTGCAATTAGATCTAGTTCAAGTAAGGGAGATTATTTTAATGTTGTGCAATTGTAAGCTGTGTGTAAGACATAGTGCAAAAATTAGTGAAATTTGTGTTTCTGAGGAGTCTAAAGTAGTTGTTGGTTAGTTGCTATGCCAAAGGTTTAATTTTATTTCTACTGCTTGTCTGAGCAACAGAAAGAAAAAAAAAAGTAGCAGCACATAACTTGTGAAAAGTAAACTGCGAAGTTTTTTCTGCTGTGATTCATAAGTCCCATTATTTGATGTCTTGCTATTCGTGTTATTCATCCAAGTTATTTAAATCACTCAGGCTTCTATTATCTTCAAAAAAAGATTCTATTACCAACCAAAATCTCTTAGCGAATTGTTATCCTCCGCCTCCAAATATCTCAGTCATCCAGTACAAGGGCAGAAATAGTGCTGTGTGACGCTGAGTGATCTATTAGACAATATGGATAATGTACAGCACATAGTCTAAGTATCGGTCTCTTGAGCTATCAGTGTCATTTAAAATAAGCAGCTTTGAAAAACAAAAATAAAAGAGGAAAACCGGTTAAGAGATTTCCTAAGTTGCTTTTTGCTTACCGGTTGAACCAATAGTATCATCAAAACTTAAAAGATGTTAATATCTTTTCCTTTTTGCCTGGTTTATTGAAATTCATTTTTCATTTTTGTTGCCTTTGTCATTCACTTTTTCACCTCCATTTGCATTTACCAGAGTTCTTCAGTCAAAGTACAAAGTGAAAACTGCAGCACTAATCAAAAGTGATCAGTTAAAACAGATGCATATTAATTAGACTAAATGAAAGATTCATCCATCCTGTCTTGAGTTCCAAAGCCCTGAAGCACTCTGAAAGTCCTCTTCCTTTTCTCCTCGGTCAATCCACCGTGTACTCTGACAGCCTTTGTTCATGGCACATAGCTCATGGTCTTAATTAAATCACAGATGGTAAGCAATTGTCCCCTTAAAGAATCATTTGGACTTCTTTTCATCTATTAGATGGTTTATATTTCTCAGAGCTTTGATACATCCTGGAGGTTCATATCTACCTATTACAAAATTCTACCAGAATTGCTTTAATAATAGATGGGTGGTATTGATGAAAACAATTTTGACTTCATGTAATTGAAAGTTTTAATTTGTCATTGGAGGTTGTTTGAGGTTTCGCATTTAGCATGAGGTTTCATTTGTACCTCCTGGCTTAGCAGAAAAAATAATTGTAAGTATGCTGCTGAAGCCAAGCATTATCTTTTTTTTTTTTTTTTTTTTTTTTTTTAATTGCAATCGTTTTTAAGAGTAAGGTCAAGAATTCTAGAGTCTAAAACTGTGGATGCTGTTGGTAAACCACTTAAAATAATGTCGGCTCTGGACTACTGCTCAAGGCATTGTTTTATAACAGTTAAATGCTAATGACAGTGGGTTATTTTGCAGTAGAGCTTCAACTTCTTTTCTACTTTCTGCTTCACTGTTGCCTGACTCTGAACCCTTGTGTTTGTGTTTTATATGGATTAAAGCTATTGCATCTATTCTTTAGGAAATACCTGGAGCATGAAAACTGTTACATTAAATTGGTTCATTACAGTATTACATGCATAACTGCATAAACATCTATTTGGTCTTTCTTTGATCAACATTGATCTTGGCTCTTACTGCTACTGACACCTACGAGCTTTTTTTTTTCCCTAGAATGTTTTTTAATTCTAATTTGGAGTTGTCAAGTGTAGGTTCTTTTATTTTCTGTGATAATGACTTTCCAATTTTTTTAAAATACCATGGAATTTAAATCAGTTCTACTGGAGGCAATTCTACATCAATGTTAAAGAGGCATTGATGTGCCAGCAGTGTTTTGCTGCTGCAGTGTGTTTCACCTGGAAAAGCACCTTGGTCTGTCACTGAAGGGCACTGCATAAATGCAGTATAGTATTATTTATTTATTATCATAGTACCACACTCCAAGCTACCTCCCAAATACATCAGTAACCAACCTACCTTGACAGTTTTGTCATTTCAATTTTCTTTGCTTTTTCTCCCTCTGTGTTTTTTTACTTATGGCTTCTAGTGAAATTGCTGTGGTCTTCCTGTATAATTAAGCACGAGCCTGTTGTACTGAGTCTACCTGGTTTAGCCCTTTGAGCCATTCATTTATTATTATGCTTTTTTTTCAATGCATAGTTTTTAAGTGGCTCATTTTTCCCCTTAGTGTCATTGGTATTTTGACATTCACTATGTAGGCTTTTTTTTGTTTGTTTGTTTATAACAAGCAGCAACATTTTAGTCCTACATTCTCTAATGTCAAGGCTGTGTTTCTAATTAAATATTTATTGTACTTGCTATTGAATTCCAATGTTGAAGACAATTTAACGCTGCTCCAACATCAGTCCTAGCAAAAGATGGGCAGACAAGTCAGGTGGTGGGTATGTCAGAGGGAGAAGGGTTACTACTTTGAGGGCAGGTTCCT